CTCGAACCCGCCACCTTAGGTGTACGTGGCTGGCGCCTTAGCCGGCTGAGCTATAGGCGCCGAGCCAGGACATGTTATTTTGTCCTTGGCCACAGAGAAGTGGTGTGAGGGCCGTGCTGATCACTCTGCCATTGACCTGGCAGTGTTCCCCGTGGCTGACTATCCTGATGACAGCAGAGAAGGGACAGTGGAGACCACCTCCGGAGGGGTCGGGAGACAGAACCTTTTCTCTTCTCTTTTCTTCCCACCCTGGGCCCTCTTCTTTCTCTTACTCCACACTGTACTTTCTAGAACTGTCCTTCAAGGACTGATGGGGGTTGGATGTTCCCTTCAGCTCTCCTGAGCCTTGGGCTGGGTGTTCTCTGTGGCAGTGCCTGTTTCTACAGGTTGGCCGCTCACAAGGAGCTCACTGACTGTGCCAACAGAGCCCAGAGAGTTAAAGCAGAAGGCTCTTTGGCTCCTGCTTCCAGCCCTGCCCGTATAAAAATGAGAATACCGGCCGGGTGCGGTGGCTCACGCCTGTAATCCCAGCACTCTGGGAGGCCAAGGCAAGAGGATCACTTGAGCCCAGGAGTTTGAAGTTTCTGTGAGTTCTGATGACGCCACGGCATTCTGGGTGCCTGGGTGAGGCTCTGTCTAAAAGAATAAAGGCCCCAGGAGGGAAGGCCTCTCCTTGTCCATAGCCTCACAGAGCTGCCTTCCAGAGGGGATGTGGTGTTTGCCCCCTCACCAGGGACTGGGTGTTGGACCCACCCAGCCCAGCTTGGGGCTATATCCCCTGGCGCATGGCCTCTTTGGGCCCTTAAGACCCTTGGTCTATGAACCTTGGCCACCAAACCAGGAGCAGTACAGAAGACCCCGGGGTCCCTCTACTCATGGTCCAGCCTTGTCTGCCCTGCCCAGGCCTATCTTTAGTCAGTTGCCTTGGTCAGGCTCTGTGTGGAAGAGCCTAGGTGAGAAAGTGCTTCCTTGGCTGTGGCCCCAGCACTCTCTAGTACAGTGGTTCTCACCTTCCTAATGCCTCCTAATGCCATGACCCTTTAATACAGTTCCTCATGTGGTGGTGACTCCCAACTATAAAATTATTTTTGTTGCTACTTCATAACTATAATTTTGCTGCTGTTATGAATCATAATGTAAATATCCGATATGCAGGATGTATTTTCATTGTCACAAAGGGGTCATAACCCACAGGTTGAGAACCGCTGCTCTAGGAGGAAGGAGTTGGGGGGTGGGGACAGACCTCATGCTGCGTCCTGCACCAGTGAAATGGAGGCACAGCGGGGTCAGTGGACAGTCCCATTATACGGTCAGTCATCAAAGGCATTAGGGATAAGCCAGGTTAGGGTTTTTCAGGGAACTAGCCTCAAGGGCCTGATGGAAAGACCTATCTGGTTCTGGTCGATGACAAGGTAGTGCCAGAGGGGTGGACTTCCAGGACAAGAGGGGCCTGCTCTCCTCAGGTAGCCAGCACCAATCTCTGGACCTGGGGGTCAGCAAGCTATGACCCCTGTCTGGTTTTACATTTTACATGGTCGAAAAACCTCAAAAGACTATTTGGTGATGTGTGACCATTACATAAATCTGAAATTTTGGTGTCTGTAAATGAAGTTCCCCAGGAGCACAGCCACACATCGGTGTGTGGCGTCTGCCACTGTGGGGACAAGTTTGCCAACACGACCTGGACTCTTCACCTTAACAACCACGCCAATTGGGCTGTGGGAAGCAGCCTGGGAGCCTGCCTACCTGCCAGGGACCTTGGGGTACACGCACCTCAGTGCCGCATGGCTGTGGTCCCCCAGGTTTCTGCCCTGAGCCCGTGGTGGCCTCTGTTTTGTGGCACCTGCCCCCTTGACCACACCGCTCAGTCACCGCAGGACAGCGCTCACCATGGGCTGCCCCACAACTGGCTTTCAGAACGGACAGGCTGGTCCATGCCTCAGTGACCATGTGGGGACCTGTGGTGTGAGCTGCTGTCTGTGGGTCTCTGCCTTGCTCAGCAGGGTCAGTCACCAGACTCGCCCATGAGAGCTCACCCAGGCTGCTGCCTTGGCTGGGCCCTGTCCCTCCCGGGACACCCCCCTGACACTGGCTGGTCCTCAGACTCTGCAGGTCTGGGGAGGGGGAGATGAACCCACCCAGAAAAAGCAGAGATGGAGCAGGAGGTTGACAGAGACCCCTGAGGTGGGCCGAGTGACAGCCTGGATAGCCAGTGCTGGCCAAGAGAGGCCTGGCTTGGCGGAGGGTGAAGTGTGCGTCTGTTGCTCACACCTCGTGTCTTTAAGGAACTGAGTCCGTCAGAATGTTCTCTGGCAGGGACCCCTGTGTTCTCGAGCCGCTGCTCCTTCAAGAGCTCCCTGCTTCCTTCACCAGGCCTCTGTGCCCCTCACCTGGCCTCTGCCTCCCTACAGACCGCCGGAGCCAGGGGCTGTCCTCTCGTGCCCAGAAGTGGTTCTATGAGAAGTTTGGGGCGTATGTGGAGGACTTCCGCTTCCAGCCTGAGGAGAGCACTGTGGAGGCGGAGGAACCGCTCAGCGCCCGCAGGTGAGGCCTGCACCCAGCCCGGGGGGCCACACTGAGGCTTTAGCAGGCAGGCCATGTCTGTCACTGTGAACTGACACTGTCTCCCTATGGTCTTCTGGAGGGGGGGGGATGTGACTGGCTGGGGACCTCGAGCCCAGCTCAGAGACGCACAGCGTGAGGCAGCCCAGACCCCTGTCACAGCCATGCTGGTCTTGCTCATGGATTGTGACAAATGTCTGCCGGGGACAATGGGCTCAGGGTCAGTGCCTGCCTTTCCAGGGCCTTCCCTGCACCAGTGGTTCACATTCCCCCTCTGTAAATATTGATTCTACTTGCCAGGCACTGGGAGTCTCAGAGGAGTAAGGACAGCAAGGACAGCAGGGCCTTGGGGACTTCTGTGGGCAGATGAAGGGAACAGTTCCATTGGCAAGCAGTTCCTTTGCTTAAGGTGTGGCAGCAAGTGCCACCCCAGGGCATGGTGTGGTTGAGTTGCTAGCTGTGTGTGCTGGGGGGTCCTAGGCACTTGGGCCCACCAGCCAGCAGGGGTGGGCAGTGGGGACGCAGGACCCCGTACACTGATGCCAGCTCCTCTCCTCCCAGGTTGACTGAGAACATGAGACGCCTGAGTGAGTACTTGGGGCCAGCACTGCAGGGGCCCAGCAGGGGTGGCACTGGAAGTGTAGGGTGTGTGAGGCACAGGTGACCTTCTCTTAGACCTTCAAGAAGACACCTGCCTGGCCCCTGGGGATGAGGTCCAGGCCCTCAGGCTGCCCCTGCCCTGAGGTGGGAGTTTTCCCAGGAGCCCTGACACTTGGGATGGAAAGTGATGCTTTCCTTAGATGCTCCCCAGCCCTGGGGGTTCTGAGGAGCCTCTCCCCTTGTGTTTGCCTTGTCCCCTTTCTCTTGTCCACTGTTGTGGAGGGGTCAGGTGGCATCTCCCCACAGAGAACTCAGGAGGGAGTGCTGGCCTTGGAGTCAGCAGTACCCTGTATTGGCCCCTGTTGGGTTTTGTGTCAGCCAGAGAGACCAGCCTGACCCTGCACATGGGCACAGGGGCTCACTGCTTTTGTCTGCTCTGTCCCCAGAGCGTGGTGCCAAGCCCGTCACAAATTTCGTGAAGAACCTCTCTGCCTTATCTGACTGGTACTCTGTCTACACGTCTGCCATCGCCTTCACCGTGAGTGGCTGGTGACATCACCCCACCCTGGAAACACTTCCTTGGGCCCCAGGGTCTAGCCCAGCCTCAGTTTCCTCATCTGTATAGTGGGCACACTGATGCTCACACCCAACCACAGGGTCGCTTTGATTAAACACGTCAGGTGGGGCCCAGGGCCAGCAGCAGGGCCCCCTGGACAGAGCCGTAATGGCCGCTGTCTCTGCATAGGCATGTCTCTCATCACCCATGTCGGGACCAGGGAGGCTCCAGACAAGAGTGTGGTGGTATGGAGCACCCAGCGGGCCTCTGTGAGCCATGAGTCCTGGGGAAGGAGAGGACATCAAGGATGACATTGCCAGGGGCTCTTGCAGTAGGCCCTGCAGCTTTGCCCAGAATCATCCTGCAGCAGCTACCCCTTAGCCATACACAGGGAGATTACGTCTCTTTCTGAGGACTTGAGCCTCTGTGGGAGCCCCATGACCCTGGAGGAGGAGGAGGCCTGCAGACTGCCACTGTCCCACAGGGGCCGCAGCCCAGGAACCCTCCAAAACTTCCAGGGTGGCCGCTCTGCCTTTCTGGCACCCTCTCAGCTAAAGCCATCAGCCCCAAGGTCCCTAGCTGGATTCAGTTTAGAGGAGTCCTGAGGACCACCCTAGCCCCAGCCCTGAAGCCCATGGCCTTGTGCCTGCCCTGGACATGCCTGCTGTGCAGGGAGATGAAGGTTGGGGTGGAGGTCAGCTCTGTATTGGCCTCGGAGGTCTCTTCCCCTGCCACCCTTCACAAATGCCTTGTGTAGCAAGGTGGGTGCTGCCTTGGTCCAGGATACCAATGTGTCATGTCTGCTATGGCTAAGAGATGACCCGAGATTCAGACCCACCTCCCTGGCCTCTGCCTGGATGTGGGTAGATTCTGTTCCCAGCCCCCCTGAACTTCTGCTGTATGTCTGCAACTGTGTGGGGGAGGGACATGCCACCAGGGGGGTCTCAACCTGCAGTTGGATGACCCCCCCAGCAATGCTGAGCCCAGTGATGCTGAGTCCCATGCGTGGGAGCATACCCGGGGACCAGGATGAGGGGCCTAGCACTCCTGTCCTGGTCCTGATCAGTGTTGGGCAGCTGCTGTGCAGGACACACCCCTCCCCCGAGGGCAGTGGCTCCATCCTGATAAGGTTCTCTGGCAGCTCTTAGCTGGGAAGCAGCCTTGACTCCAGCTTCCCTGTCAGACATTCCTCCTCCTGGGGTGTGTTGGGAGCCCTGGGCCAGGTCTCCATGCTGGGAGTTGCTGATTTGGAGGGAGGGGGCTTGTCCTAAGCCAACTGTCACGTGGCCTAACTCTACGTCCTGAATCCGCAGGTGTACATGAATGCCGTGTGGCACGGCTGGGCCATCCCCTTGTTCCTGTTTCTAGCAATTCTGAGGTTATCCCTCAATTACCTCATCGCCAGGTAGGTGAGCGAGTTTGTCCTGTGGCTACTTTATCCCTATGTGCGTGGCTGTGCTATGTCTTGGGTCACACCACCCATAACACCAGATGCATGTGTCATGCCCAGTGTTGGCAGGGAATCTCTGGCAGGCTTCAGACCCCCCAGGCAGACAGTTCTCCCCAAACTTCAGCATGTGGGTCACTGAAGCCACAAGGGCTCAGTGCCATGTGAGGTCCCTGCTGATGGCTGTCATGAGATGGACAGGCCTGGACTCGGGGTGGGGTGAGCAGACTGAGGCTGTCACACCCACCGGGGGGTGTGTCACAGCAGCACAGGCTCGCCAGCCCAGGCCCTGTGCTGAGCACCCCTGACTCCGGGGGAGGCCCACACCCTGGGCTGAAGCTCAGCTTCTCACCCACCTGGAGGGAGCAGCCCTGATCCCAGACTTGCCCTCGGCCCTCCAAAAGTTTGTACTTTTATATGCTGATTTTTCCAGATGACTTTCTGTGCCTAAGCAGGTTCATTTGGAAATGTGTTTGTAGAAAACTCGTAGGTCCTCTCAAGGAGTCGCGGCACCCAGAGAGGAGCAGGACTAGTGGAAGTGCTGCTGCTGCTGTTTCCCTGGCTCTGTCGAAGGCATCCCCCCCACCTCTAGTTGCTTTAGAATGTGGCCCCTCTCCTCCAGTGGCCCTCAGGAGGGGCCGAAGAGAGTGGCAGGAATAGTCCACTGCTGGGGAGCGGCCCTAGTTGTCCCAGAGTGCACTGGCAGGGGGTTCTGGGAGCCTGTCTGGCTGGCAGGGAAGGGCCCCTTCAGCCCTGCGGGGAGGCCAGGCAGCGATAGGATGTCACCCCTGACCACGCTGCTTGCAGGTGACACTGTTTAAAGGTGTGTGGTTGCTTCCTTTGTGCCAGGGGCTGGAGGATACAGTGGAGCATTGTGCCAGAGGTGTCTGAAGCCGTGGTAAGTCCTACAGGGCCAAGAGTCCCCTCTGTCCATCTGTGCCAGGTGGGGGCTTATAGCCTGTGGGTGATGCACAGGGAAGGGGCTGTGCAGGAAGACCACAGATGGGGAGTCTAATGAATGAGGCTGTGTGGCTCTCCTCTGGGAGCCCTGCCCCGGAGAGAAGTGGGGGAGGAGGAACCTGACACCCCCAGCCCCAAGCCCTAGCCTTTTCTTGCTGGGGCTCCCACTAGGGAGTGATGTGATGGGGGTGGGGCAGCAAGGGACTGCTGTAGCCCCCATAGCCTCCCTGGGTAGAGGGGCAAACAGTGAACTAGATGAGTAGATGCGGCCCTGCCTGGGACTCTAGAGTCTGCTTCTGGCCCACTGCTGGTTTTATTGATACACAGCCGTACCCACAGTTATACACTGCCACGGCTGTGTTTGCGCAACAGATGAGTAGCTGTGGCAGACCAGACCATGTGGCTGAGAAGCCTCTGGGCCTTTTATAGAAGCTTGTTCTAGAGGGAGACTTTGGCCCAGGGGGTAGGACCATCAGGGGAGTGTAGAGGGAGCCCCTGGTGCCCCCGTGGCCTGGTCAGACACCAAGAACCTGCTCTGGTATGGGGCACACAGAGGTGAGGGTGGTGGCCGGGAGGAGGCAGGCATGTGCCCGCCTGACCCTGGGAGCCTTGGGAGGTTCTTAATGAATGGGAGATGTGTGGACTCTGATAGGCAGGACAAGGTGGTCTCCCTGCCTGTGGGCAAGGGAGTGGGCTAGGTGGCCTCAGTGCACCTGCAGAGCTGAGCTGTGTGCACTGCCCTCCAGATGAGAGTTCACCATTAGCCCAGAGGGCCACTCTCTTTGCACCGGGGTCCCTGAGGGATGTCCCATTGTCACTGACTAGGGGGAGGGGCAGCAGAGCGACCCACAGGTCCCTGGGGCTGGGAGGCCTTCATGCTGTTTTGTCAGTAATTGTTCTGAACTGTTAAATTTCAGTGGAAAATTCTCTTTCCCCTTTGACTGAAGGAACCTCCCAAGGAAGACCTGACGGTGTCTGAGAAATTCCAGCTAGTGCTGGATGTTGCCCAGAAAGCCCAGGTACAGCCACCCCTGACATGGTCTCTGGGGGATGCTGGGCCCGGGCTTGGGCAGAGAAGTGACCCCCCCACAGGCCTGGGAGTAGCTGGATAGGACCACTGGACTGTGGGTAGCCAGAGGTGTCTCCGGCCTGCCAGAACCTGGGCTCTCCCAGGGTTGTGGAGTGACTGAGGATCTGTCGTGATCGGGGTTTCTTCTTTACACAGAACCTTTTTGGCAAGATGGCTGACATACTGGAGAAGATCAAGAAGTAAGTCCCAGCCCCCACCTGGCGGTCGGGGCACACCCCACCCCGCCTGAGCCCACCATCTCCCTTCCAGCTTGTTTATGTGGGTCCAGCCCGAGATCACGCAGAAGCTGTATGTGGCGCTGTGGGCCGCCTTCCTGGCCTCCTGCTTCTTCCCCTACCGCCTGGTGGGGCTCGCCGTGGGTAAGGAGCTGTCCCAACCTCGTGGGGGTGTGAGTCCCAGCAGTGTCAGGGACAGGCGGCTGCATCCCACCCTGTATCTGCCGGGTGTTGGCATGCCTGCGAGAGCAGGGCAGGCCTGCGGGTGAAGACCTGGAGGGCCTGCTTTTTGTTGAAATGTTTCCATTTAGGAGATGGAGCCCATGTAGGATGTAGGCACACAGCTGCCATGTCTTAATCACATGTGCCCTCTCCTTCTAAGGGGCCACAGGTTCTTGCCAGGGGAAGGAGCTGGTGAACCCTAGGCCCAGTCTGCCGGGCCCGAGAACCCCAGGGGAGTTGCCCTGGGTGGACTGTGCTGACGGTGGGGGTGCCTGAGTCTGGTTTGAGATGCAGAGAAGCTGGTTGTAGCTGGGAAGTTTGGCAACGTGGCCGAGGCTGTGAGTTACATCCTCCTGAAATACTTATTTCTGGAGTTGTGGTTGAGAGGGACAGGGGAGCTGGCCACGAGTCCCAGGTTGTGTGGGGTCAGGTGCGTGGCCCCCCACCTTACCATGGGGGCAGCCTGTCCACCTGCTACCCTTCTGTCTTCTCTCTTACCCTCAACAATGACCCAGCATCTGATGTGGGCGGGTATGGGCAGTCAGGAGCAAGGCCTGTCCTTGTGGGGCAGGCAGGAATTGTGTAAGCCCCCAAAGGATGGTTTGTGTGAGTTGTGGAAGAGGGGTGGGGGAGGACCCTGAGCAGCATCTGGAGGACAGACCTCCCCCCACGCTCTCAAAAGCCCAGAAGTCCCTCTTGCCATGTGGGCTCAGGAAAGCAATTAGAGGCACCATACTAGTGGGACAGAGCAGGGCTGAGTTCTAGCAGCAGCAGCCCAAGATGGCTCCCTGGGGCTCAGTGGCGTCCCAGTATGGGGTGGAGCGAGATTTGATCAGGGCTTTGGTTTTGAAACTCAGATCTTTACCCCCCAAATGCCCTCGAGCCCCTGTTTAGTCTCAGGACTCCTGGAGTGTAAGACCCCTGAGACCTCAAGTCAGACCTCTAATGAGGACTCAGCTCACAGGTGTAGCAGCATCTGGGGCCCACGGGTCCCTGGGACTGTCTGCCCTCTGTCTGAGCCGGGTGGTTAGGAACTTGGGGTTTGGTGTCTGAATCTGTCCTGCGTCCTCTTGTGGCAGCTGGTATGGCTTGGTCCTTGCGACCACACCACGTTCACCACCATCATCAGGTGGCCCTTACTAACCCTGCCTGATGTAGCCTAAGACGCCCATACATCATCCTCCATCATCGCTGCCTGTCTGACCTCTGCCTGTGCTAACAGGAGCCCTGAGTGCAGAGGGTGAGGATGGCCCCAGCTGGGATCTGAGGGCTCTCAAGCCGAGCTGTCCCTCATGGCTGGGCTGCAGGAGGCCTGGGACCTCAGTCCAGTTGACCAAACCAGTGTCCCACTCCTGCCCTTCCCCACCTGAGCGTATTTCTAGAGTGAAAAGGTTGGGACTTGGGTTTATCCATTTGTGTGCAAATGTCTTACAAAGGCAAGACGTAAGCAAAGCACAGGCACAGCTTTCTCTAGTTCCCTTTTTAGGAAAGTAAGGAAGGGACGTGAACTCAGAGCCTGCAGGCAGGGGCTTTCACATCTGCTCTGCAGGCAGGGGCTTTCACATCTGCTCTGTCGGGCTGGCTTTGCAGGCAGCCCAGCAGCCCTGGGCATGGGGAATAGCCCGACATTTCTAGCTGCTCAGAGGACACAGCTTCCTTGGCTCGAGGTGCATTTCCCTGTGCATTGCCGGGGGCCTGGGTGGTCCTCTGTACTCCAGTTCTAGGCTTGCCCCCTCTGGGCAGGCGACCACAGCTGATGAACAGGGCACGGAAGCCAGCTGCAGGAGCTATTAGAGCAGGTGGTGGGGAGGCCTCACAGGAGGCAGGGCCATGGGCAGGGAGCAGCACTGGGTGAGGGGTCAGGTGGGGGTGGACTTGGGGAGGGCCTGTGCCCCAGAGGGACATCAGATTCTGTGTTAGGAGTTTGAGCAAAGGAGGGACATTTCTGACATACTTTATGTGGGTTAAGAACAGCCCTGGGCCAGGACAGAGTTGGGGGCACTGGGCAAACCTGCCTGACTAGACAGGTTTAGGGAGGGTGTGGCTGGAGCCAGAGAGGGCGTGGCCTGGGTAGGCGTGGGTGTGACCTAGTCTAGAGGGTGTGGGCTGGTAGGAGTGGGTGTGGTCTTAGCAGGAAAGAGAAGGGCCTGGGTGGGAATGTATATGTCCTAGAAAGGGTATGGCCTGGTGGGAGTAGGTGGGTCCTAACCTGAAGAGGGTATAGCTTGGGTGGGAGTGGGTGTGTCTTAGTCTAGAGAGGGTGTGGCCTAGTGGGAGTGGCTGGGGCCCTGGGTCCTGGTGGACCTGACCTGTTTAGAAGGCAGAGCCACTGATTTGGAGGTAGATGGGTTGGGGATGAGGGAGATAGTTGGAGATGCTGAGGGCATTCTCTGAACTGCAGGGTAGGTGATGATTCCCTTTAGTACCATAAGGAAGATGTGGGGTGGGGGCTCACGGCAGGGGTGGGCATACTGGGGAGGGGGCACATTAATGATGGGCACAGAGCTCAGGGAGTAGTCCTACCACAGGTGCAAAAGTGCAGGACACGGCCCTCACCTGCATTTAAACTGTGAAGCTGGGCTGGGATGAGGGGCCAGGGCTGACCTGGACATCTAAGGGAGCCAGGCTGGGCTGGACTGGACTTGGGGACAGGGTGCAGATCTGGGAGATGGAAAGTGCCGGAGCTACCATCCTAAACAGATGTGCAGAATCACCAGGTTCTGGGCTAAACAGGAACCTTCCCCCCACCCCCAGGACTCTATGCGGGCATCAAGTTTTTCCTCATTGACTTCATCTTCAAACGCTGCCCAAGGCTACGGGCCAAGTATGACACCCCCTACATCATCTGGAAGAACCTCCCCACAGACCCCCAGCTCAAGGAACGTTCCAGCACCGCCATGTCTCGAAGGGTGAGCTCCGGCCTACAGCTGGGTGTGCGTGGTGCGGGAAGCCTCAGCTGCAGGCCCTCAGTCCTCTGCTCACCTTAGCCCATCAGGGAAGCTGGTAGTGGCAGGTGCACGGGGCCCTGAGAGCCTGTGAGGCCCTTTCCCTGTCTCCAGCCACTGCTTTTCTGAGGCCCACCTGTCCCTTTACTCACCTCCCGGGGCCAACCAGCCCCTCCTAAGCCCAGGGACAGCACTTCAGGGTTGGGCTGGACCCCCCTGCCTAAAAGCCCCTGGGGGGGGTGCTTCCCCAAGGTGTGCTGGGCACAGGGTCCCCCTGAGTCAGGGTGAGGGCAAGCAGGGTGCCTCCTGCTGAGAGTCTGGGGCCTGGGAGTGACCACTCCATGGTGGGCGCCTGGTCCTACTGTGCCTGCCCATAGGGCTTTGGTGTCAAGGCCAACTAGCACCTGAGAAAGGTCCACCCTGTGCTCATAGGCTGGTCCTCAGCCATATTTTGTTTATGGTGACAGGCCCTGTGGGGTTGGGCACAGTGTTCTGAGCCAGGACATAGGTGCTGTCCTTGAGGCTTCTCAGACCCCAGGGGAGGTTCTGGGTCCAGCAAGGCTGCCGGGAGGCTTCAGAGGCTTTCTGGAGGTGGTAAGGCTGGCCGGGAGGCTTCAGAGGGCTTTCTGGAGGCAGTGAGGCTGGCACACAGTCCAGTATACAGTGCCCACTGAGGAGAGGGCGGCTCTGTGTCCTGCTGGTGCCTCTGAAGCTGGGAGCAGAAATTCTAGGTTGGATGTGATCATGCTTCTGGGTCCTGGGGTGACAAAGCTTTTGGGGAACCTGAACTCAGCCACAGGACAGCCCAGCCAGGCACTGGCCATATGGGTGGCAGTGTGCCCCAGACATGGAGGAGGCAACTGGGATGGGGACATTCCTGGGATCAACCCCAGCTGGTGCCAGCCCCCTTAGCAGGGAGAGTGAAGCGGGCAAGGACGTGACTGATAGGGCCCTGCTGGCTCAGCCCTGCTCGGCTCGGTGCGTCCTGACCTTGCGTCACGTGGCCCCCGGTCCTTCCTTCATCTTGGTCACACGTGTCTGTTGTCTCTTTTCTGGCCAGCTGTCAGGGCATGACAAGGTATGGTGTCTGTGTGGAAGCCCCAGCCTGTGGGGCCCCTTGCTGTGCAGTGACTCTGGTTTTCTCATGTGCCTCCATGGCCTGTCCCATGGCCAGTTTCATTTGATTCATGAAATGTCAACCCCATGCCGGACAGCAGTGTCCTTGGACTGTTTGTGCTGCTGGGGTACAGCTCAGTCACAGAGTTCGGTGTGGGGAAGGTGGGGCATTCCTGGGGTCTCCCCTCCAAGGCAGAGGAAGGTGAAGCACAGCTGACACTGGCAGGGATAGGGGGGCACGTCGCCCCCCTGTTGGACCACCACTTGCACGGGGGTGTGCGTGCCTGTAAGCACGTTTGAGTCTGCAGCTGGCATGAGCAGGGGGGCCCTGGTGTGTCCCCAATGCACCATCCAGGCCTGACGTGCACTGTGTATTATCAGCAGCCACAGACAACCTCATCACGGAGCTACGTGTCCAGCGCACCAGCTGGCCTGAGTAAAGAGGACGACGCCGGGCGCTTCCACAGCACCAAGAAGGGCAATTTCCATGAGATCTTCAACCTAACTGAGAACGAACGTCCATTGGCGGGTACGTGTGCGCTGAGCCTGTGCCCAGCCTAGCCCCAGGGAAAGGGTGCACCTGTGGGCGGCAACCTGTCCCTAACAGGGGCATCCCTGTCCCGCTCCCCGAGGGAGGTATTACATCAAAGGAGTGTTTCCAGTGGAGAAAGGTGACAGGTGGGTTTTGTCCCGGCAGTGTGTGAGAACGGCTGGCGCTGTTGCCTGATAAACAGAGACCGCAAGATGCCCACAGACTACATCAGGAACGGGGTGCTGTACGTGACAGAGAAGTGAGTGGGGTGCTATACATGAAGGAGAAATATGGGCGGTGCTCTGCATGATGGAGAGGCAAGCGGGGTGCTGTGCGTGACGGAGAGGTGAGCGGGGTGCTGTGCGTGACGGAGAGGTGAGC